TTGCATCATATTTGAGTAAAACAAATATTTTTTCATGAAGCATCTTAAGAGTTTTTCTAATCTACTTCAGTTTCAGGGATTAAAGTAATAATTAAAAAACGAAATTACTTATTTGTTTACCTGACAAACATAACAACATCGCAAGTGTATTTTAAATTTTGCATCATATTTGAGTAAAACAAATATTTTTTCAAAATAAAAGTCGCGATCGTTAGCGTCAGTGCTTACCTTCGTCCGRACATCTGAATCAGTCACGATACAAACATTTACTAACAAATAAAACAATTCCAACAAATATCCAGACATGCTTTTCTGACACAGTCGGTTGTGTTGTTCTGTTTGAGGTAACCCCCCCACACACACACCCTGAATTATCAAACGGAAAAAGATTTTATTTTCGACCGAGCTAACAAGGAAGCTACGGCTAATTGAGGTGATAACAATAAATAAACAACTTACCGTGTTTCTTGAATTTTAAAAAGAGCCTTACGCTTTTCATTCTACTCAGATCACAACTGTTTTTTTTTTTTTTTAAGTTTTACTGACACTTCCGGTAACCTTTAAAATATTCCACCTGGAAACAAGCGAACGGAAATGTTGTTCCTACAGTGTTATTTTGTGTTACAGGGACAGGGGTATTTTTCTCCACGTCACGCTAAAAATCACGATTTTGTGTACTATTTAGCCCATTTATTATAAAAATGTTAAGTTTACTTTTATTTAAAACGAATATTTGAAAAATTTTAAGCTGACTTCCACCAGACGTGTTGTTGTAATTTCAACACTGACTGACAGAGGGCAGCAGAGAGCTCCTGCATGTTGTTTACAGGCTTTCAGGTTAAAGCTCACTGCCAAGAACAGATCAGGGGTCTCATTTATAAAGGATTGCGTGGAAACCATACTAAAAGTGAACGTACGGCCAAAAGGCAGAAATGGCGTACGCCAAAAAAAAATTCCGATTTATAAAACAGTACGTACGCACGTTTCTGCGCATCTTTCCTTTATAAATCCCAGCCGCACGTCAGAGTTTGCGCACGAGGTCCCGCCTCAGGTTCT